GGGTTAAATATCGGTGGGGTGGCCGATGTCCGATATTCAGTTTTAAGGCCGATACCGATAGGGGGCCGATTATATCGTGCATCCCTATCAATTAGATTTAGATTTATTCAACATTTGACCCCTAATAAAACCACCTTACCTATGGAAGAACAGACTGGGAACTGCTCCAGTATAAACTGGGAGGAATGGCTTTAAAACATCAGCAGAACCACATCATTCACTAAATAGGAAAGCTTCAAAAGCTATTTGGAACCCAGACATTGAGTAAGAAAAAGTCAGACTTCTTGCTAAAGATGTTGAGTCAGTTTTGTTTGCTGACAGCTGATCAAAGCATCGGCAGCATCCCCCATTCTGCTTTAAACTCCTCACATGACACAGTTTCACACCCTTTCTGGATCCACGAGTAACAGGAACCCCTCAGACCTTAAGTAAGGATAAATATCTGGAAATTGGTTGCAGCATCGGCTCCATCACCAAAGTCATTATTTCGATGAGTGTCCCCATAAAGGAACAGAAAAAAAACCTGATCCAATACTTAGAAGAGGACTGTGCTTATCAGAAGTGATGCAAAAATCATTCAGTCACCGAAGATACGGGACATATAACTGAAAATATTCAAAGCTTTTTTCTGCAAGGCAATAATAATTAAACTAGATGATAAAACTCCTGCTGGCAGATGCAGCCTCACAGCGTCACCTCATGAGTTCATTCACTTGTTCTTTATGTCCAACCTGCATTGACAGCATCTCTATGGACTAGTTTAAACATTCTCAACACATTTCCCTCAGATGTTAAAGAGGACAAACGGCTTTCAGAGCGTCTCTGCAGGCTGTGTTTAGCATTCAGCTTTGAATTAGTGGAGACTGAGTGGAAACCGCAGAATTAAATGTGACCTCAGCCGCTGTCTGCTTAAACTCTCTGATTGCTCGCCTTCATCTCAGCTAGAGATGAGGAACTGAACAATGAGGCGGTCACTTTAGATTCAACTGGAAGCTGCAAGATAAAAACTTTGTGTGCTGTTTGGGATGCATCATCTAAGCTGCATTTCCTGCATGGCATGAGATGTGAATTTGAGCAGGACTCAGCGGTTCATAGCAGAAGCTAACAGAGCGAGGCCAACATGCAGCTTTACTAGATCTGCATCAGATCCTCCATACTAGAATAGTCAACAACTAACCCTTGCTTCACTCTGCAGCACTCTGCCGGAGTGGAAACAGGATTTAGACTTTTACAGATAAACACCACTTCACTCTGTCAGAGAGAAGAAGGAGATTAATCCAGGAGAAGAACCATCAGAAAACACCTTCATCCCAACAGCTGATTGGGCTGATATCAGCCTGCAGTGATGTTGTTTCCTTCAGAAAACTCGCTTCTGTCTGCTTTTAGCTCCGGACGGTCTTCAGGAGGGATCTTTCCTCCAAGCTGCTCCTGCTCTTTACTCAACCCGACTTTATTCCTGAATATATACAATCAGTTGATGAATCGTGGATATATTCCAGAACCTGATGGGAAACTAATGGGATGGAAAAAACATATTATTGTGTTTTATCTGAGAAAGGAAAGCTAGGCACTTCTATGTTTGATGTATGATTATGGGCTGAAGTGAGGGGCTCTGAATGAGCGGCCATTTGTTAAAAGCCGGGAAACGTTGGTGCGACCAGCACGAGGATAAATGGAGGAAGTGATCCTTTTTTCCACAGTCATGGGTGGTGGTTTCACAGATATTACAGCACTGAATGTTTCATTCGGTCCGTGGTGGACGGAGCCATGAGTAGACAAAGCATTCATCACATCAACACTATCCTCCTTCTCAATCTTTCTCTAATTTACTTCCTCCTGTCTGCCATTGCCCTCCTACTTCTGTCTTTCTCTCCACAACCCAGAGCTCTTCTCGCTTCCCCTAACTAGTGAGCCAGCACAGTCAAATCCTTTATCCTCACACCGCCTCAATTATTCAGCAGCAAAGAGTCCAAATCAGTGACTAATGACTTTGATCAAGAGTAGCTCGCTGGTGTTAAGGAGAACTTTCTTCACTAAATTAAGAGCAGTATAATACTGGCTGGCAAAGGGCAACTGCTGCAGGAATATTTGGAGGTTTGTCCACAGTTGACTCTCTCTCTCAGTGCCCAGATCAAAGATTCAGTCTGATTTCTGATTGATCAAAAGAAAAAAAATCAGGAAGAGGTTTAATCTCAGACAGTCTGTCAAGAACCACGGTTTTACTGTAAAATATGGCAGTGCAGACTAGTTTAGCTCTTAAATGTAAATAAATAAAGAATTAATTTTTTTTATTCTTATTTCTATCTGGTTACAATCCTCATCCATTTTCTGGGCTCTGAATTTATCCTTTATTTATCGTTTTGTTTCTCTTGTCTTAAATCTGGTTTGATTCTTAACCTAATCATACTTTAAAATGACTAAAACATGTTTTATCATTATAAATACGTACAAACCGCATTAATATTGTAAAAGCACTAAAAAGATGTGTGGAACAGCGTCCTCTGAGACCAAGGCTATTTGGTCATGATGCATTAGAGACTGACACGGGAGTGAATTTTCACTCCTGTCCCGTCCCACTCCCAGAAAAAAATTCAGAATGACTCCCGCTCCTGCTCCACTCCCATTCTTGTTGTCTTGAATAAGATTTCTGCCAATACATTGAATCTGAATTTCTATGAAAGGTCAGTTAAGTTCCTGTTTATAACTGTAGTAACTGTTGGTCCCTCCATTGTCACTTTTGAGCGGGGGTGAAAATCTCAGAGCGGAAGCACTGTTGGTTTTTGGGTCGTGTAGTTTTTTAGACTCGCATTACAGTGTAGGCTTCAAGGAAAATAGGGTGACCATATTTTCCTTTCGAAAAACCAGGACACCCTTGGGGCGGGGGGGCGGTTAGGCGTTAGACACTCTCTCGATGACCCCCCCCCCACCCAGTCCGACGACTACAGCCGTTGGTTAGGGGATCAAAGGCAATGCACGGGCCGACGCACGTTCGTTGGTATCTCTAAGATCCATAGCCAAGCCAGTTTGTAGAAATTGGAGAACTAGGGTTAGCTTTTAGAGTAATGGCTAGGTTTTAGGGTTAAGGCAAGGCTTAAAATTAGGTTTAGGGCAAGTGTCAAGGCTAGGGATTGGCTAAGGGTATTTTTTAGGACAAGGGTCAGGTGTTAGGTTTAGGCATGGATTCCACTAATATTAGGGTCAGTAGCCAATTGATCTGGTAAGTTGATAGTAAGGGCTAAAATTAGGTTTAGGGCAAGTGTCAAGGTTAAGGATTGGCTAAGTGTAATTTTAAGGCAAGGGTCAGATGTTAGGTTTAGGCATGGGGGGGGGTTAGGGTTATTATTTATTAAAATTTATTAAAAATGCTTTTCAGTAGAAGTCAACAGCAATAACTCCAATAAAAACGATAATTTTATTCAAAGTGTATTTATTAAAAATGCTTAACAGTAGAAGTCAACAGCAATAACTCCAATAAAAACGATAATTTTATTCAAAGTGTATTTATTAAAAATGCTTAACAGTAGAAGTCAACAG